ATAAGATTGAGAAATGACAACAACTCAAATTTCGACATGCTGGACTTCGAAATCATTACCCTCTCCTCTGATGTTATCCGATCCATCCATCTCTCCTTCTCATTTTAATTAATTTCACTATCATTCATGTGCCTAACACCACCCACTAATTACAATTTTATTATTTGATTAATGTTCATTCTGTGTTTTTTTTCCCGATCTGCTCATTTTATAATTACTAAGAGAACACAGAGACCCGAAGTTAAATATGTACTGTGTTATCTGTTAGCGTGTTCTCTTCTCTTCATTATTTTATCAGAAACAGAGAGAGATACTCCTACTATCAACTTTTCATGTGCCTCAACCCCTAGCTAAAGTCTCGCATTCAATTTTATAATGTTTAGTATATATGAAGAGATCTATGAGATCATTGTTGCTGCTGCAATTTTTAATGATTATTATTATTTTAATGAAAATACTATGAATGATGTAACAGTTTTAATAGTAAAATATCATGAGTATAAATATCTAAATTTGATATGCTTATGTGCTCGAAGTCTCTTACAATACTAGTTGGTGTGTGAAAGGGCAAATGCAACTAACCAGCCTCTTTTTTATAACCTGTAAACTATTTTATTTGGAATCACTTATAAGCAGCTTGTCAATTATGATTTGAAATACGGGATAAATATATGAAAAAAAAAATCCTGTTTCGATTTATTTAAACGTGTTTATAAGTACTTATTGATCATGTATTCAAACAAGCCATAAATTGTTAAACTTGAGCAACAATATTGGGTTTTTCCCACTTCTTTTTTCTCTTGAGTTAGTTTGAGATTAGTAGAACAAGTTAATTTCATTTTAGACCAATAAATTGCTAAATTTTCGATCTAAGGAATTTGCAATTCTTGCTCTCTCATTTAACCTGGAAGTATCACATATGTAGGTGTAGGATTTCATATAATGACTTTTCAAAATTTGACCTTTTTTCTGAACCAAAAAAGTCAATTTTATTAATTATTTTAAAAAATATTACACTCACCAAACAGACCCCGAAAAAAAAACAGAGAAAAGAGAAGACTCACAGGAAATAAAACCTAGAGTACAGCATAGAAGAAATGAACACAAACAAACAGGAAAACTACCCATGCTGTTCTTTGGTTTAACTTTTGAAAGAACCAAATATCCTGTAAAATATAAATTCGACACTTAATTTTATTGGTCTTATAATGAAGGTAAATTGCTCTACTTCTCAAATGATATTTCCCCCTCTTAAATAAATAAATAAAAATCATGTGCTCCACAAAAATCGGGCCCACTTGACCCTTGTGAAAATAGACAAGGGCCGGTCAAATGCTCGAATGAGAAAAGGGTCAACTAGGGGCGGGCTCACTGTCCAGCCCTTTTATATGAGAACATGAGCTTCGTCACCCAAATATTAACGTACAGATTCATCTTAAAAATTTTCACTTACAAACACAAGACACTAAAAAGAATTTTCTATGTGAAAATTTTATTCAAAAATTTAAAATTATAACAATTTTTCCCCTTATCATTAAAAATATTAATAATCAATCTTATTATTTTAACAATCGACCCTAATTTTTTTAATGGTATGGAGTAAAATTACTATGATTTTAAAATTTCGAGGCAAATTTGCATCTAAAACAACTTTTGAGAGCCTGGGACTCTTGAGTGAAAACTTTCGGGATAAATTTATACTTTAAGCTAATACCAAATAATACAAAGGGAACAAAATAGGCGCTGAAATTCTATTTATGCATGATTGTGCAATTTGAATCTGTGACATTCCTAGAAAAATGGTTTGGGAGAAACATATATTGGGTCCGTTTGGATTAGCGATTGGAAAAATAGTTTATTGTCAATTTAACTTTTGAAAAAGTTATATTAGGTGAAAGTTAAATTGAGTGATGTGAATTCTGTTTGGATTGGATTTTATAAAAGTTAGATTAGGTAAAATGTTAATAAAAGTAAGTTTAGTTTGTATAATTACCAAAATGGGTATGAACTTTATTAGATAATGAAAAATAATAATAAAATAAATTTACATAATACAATGAATTTAAATTAGTAAGTTTAGTTTGTAAAATTACCCAAAGGAGTATGAGTCTTATTAGATAATAATAAATGATTAAAAAAAATTTACAAAGTGAAACACAATTTGAATGGATACAACAAATATGAAGGAGGAGTATCTTCGGTGAATAATAATGGGAGAATAATGAGGGAGGAGTGAGGGGGAAAAAAAAAACATAATCTGACAATTCCAACGGTCCACCAAGATAAGCACGATTTTCACTTGCAAAAGCTACCCAGGTCAGCTTTTAATTAAGTGTGTTTTAATCCAGCTTTTCCCTCCGAAGTATGATGGCCTATAAGCTCTTCCAAACAACCCCCAATTTTCCAAACAGGCTTATAATGTAAATAAGCTACTTTTGGGCCGACAATCGCTAACCCAAACAGGCTGATTATTGTGTTCTGTAATTATGCCCATTAAGTTACATATTTATTATCATTGCTATACTTGTGTGTTCTTGAATTATTGGTATAGTGCGATTATACATTTATATGTATTAATTTTAAATTCAATTATGTTTCTACAGTATTTGAAAAGAAGGCTACGGTATTAAAATTTCAATAAAGTTATGGACTATAGATAATGGATTATTATTATTTTTTGGGTATAAGATAATGGATTATTCAATATACATGCATGACTTAATCTTGTTTTCACCCAAGCCCAAAAGGACAAATTCCATATACCCTTCAACCGGAAATGGGCCAGGCCCAAAAGGATAAATTCTATATACCCTTCAACCAAATATCCATATTTTATTATCACCAACAGAGGTTAGGTCTAATAGAAGGAGTTAGTCCCTCACAACGTGATGAACCAAGATTCGAATCTCTGTTAGAAGATATGCCCACATTTAGTGCCCGACAGTGAATCGAATAAGATTACCTTTAATAGGAGGATACCTATACTTTAGCAAAAAAAAAAAAAATCCATATTATCTAAGGAGATTGAATAGTGCACCCAGATACATTTGTATTTGTACCCAAAAGAAAAAGGGCTACATTTCTATATATATATATATATATATATATATATACATACAAATGTCATATGTTTAATGCATGTTGTTTCAGCTACAACATAAACTCCATTGGAGGATCTTGTTCTACACTCATCTTAGTTACAGATATTATTGGGCACTAAAAGTTAGCATCTCTCTAATAGGATTTCAAATTTTCATTTGCTACATTGTAAGAAATTAACTTCTTTTGCTCCCCAACTCCCGTTAATTTTTATTTTCCTTTTTAAATTACCTGATAGTTATGATGTTGGACACTTGGATTAGAATGATAAATGAAATAAAGAAAAAAATCTACACATTGGAGATTATTCTTATGAAATTCTAACTAGTTGGCGTGTAAATCTCAAAGTCTATTATGTTTTTATCTTACCATATATTTTAGTAACACATATAACAAAACGAGTTTTTACACTAGAGCTATAGAGCTATCAAATCATATGATTTGTCTTGGTCGAGAAATCTTCTTGATGTGTGTGTATATATTTATAACTATCAAGAACAACTCAATTAGTCACACTAATAACTGATGAACCATTTAATTAATCAATCAACGAGAGCCAGAAAAACAGGCTGAGCCTGTTTAGGCCCGAAAATTACTAGGGCTGGGCTTAGAATTTTTCTCCTAAAATGAAAAACATGCCCAATAGGGCCACGGGCTTAAATAGGCCGGCCCTGCAGAGCTGAGGCCCAGCCCGTTTAGACTCTTTTATAATTTTTTTTAATTTTTTTTAATTTTTTTGTAATTCTAATATTATTAATTTTTTACATTATTAATGGTATTTCAAATATTTAGTTATTATTATCATTTTAAAATTAAATTTTATAGAATGGTTTGACTTATTTAGTTTTAGACAATAATTTGTCTAATTAAATTTTTAAAAAATGGGCTAATTTGAACTTTAATAATAATTTGATTTATATTATATGTATTGATATTTTTAAACGATATATATTTGATAAGAGAGTATTTTTGTACTTATATAACTTGTGATTTTATAATTTGAATTAGAAATTTATAAGTTTCAACAACAATGTTTTCTCAAACTAAAGTAAAATAATAACCAGACTGCAAAATTTAAAAGTGAAATTCCTATAAAAAAGAAAAACTTGATATTTTTTGTTACGAAAGAAAAGTATATTTATGAAAAAGAGTAATTGATTATAATGATGATAAAATTTTAAAAGATTAATGATAGTATTTGTTTATTGCATATTTACACTATAGATGAAACTTTTGAATGTTGTTATCTTGTTAATGAATATTTTAGATGTTCTTGGATGTTGATGGATATTTATATATGATGATATTTTATATTTATGACTTAATTTTGTTTATATTTATGTCTTTTATTAATAATTTTATTGGTTTATTTTTTTTATTTTTTTGGATAAAAATGTGAGAAATATGAAAAATAATATATTTTTTTTTCTTAAATGGGCCGAAAGCCTGAGGGTCGGCTTTAAGCTTGTTAGCTTAAGAGCTGAGCATAACAAATTGGGATATTTTTAAAATTCTGACCCTGTAGGGCCGATTCTTTTAAACCTACCAGTCCAGTTTCTCTTCCCACCTCTATAATCAACCCAACCGATCAATTTATAGATTGATATGATACAGTTTTGATATGTTAATGAGACAAAATGTTGTTACAGTCTATAAATTTATACACGAATACCATAAATCATAATCAACTATAGTTGTTTGTATATTTTAATTAATTAAATTATATTATTTTAATGATGATCTATTTGATCTCACTTCAACTCTAACTGAACCTGACTGTTAAACTAGAGCTTCAACCTCTTCAACACCTTGAAATTTTTCCCCTAAACTGAAAAATGACAAAACAGAGAAGCAAAAGACTGTGGACCACAAAACTGAAATTAAAGAGAGCCGCTCAATTATTTTAATTTCACAAAAGTATTTGCACGCTTTTAATTACCAACTTCCATTCAAATGTGGCAACATATGCTTCCTTAAATCAAGCATGAATCATTATAGTACATATCAAAACAAAATTGAGCTTCTCACCCGCTTACAGTAAAACTAATATGTACTTCCTAAACGAAACCCAAAAAAAGGGTTAACTACACACTCAAACTTACAACACAAAGTACAGTAATTTCAATCATAACTTCTATAACAAGAAAAGAGAGGGAAAAAAACTGGGGGGTTGGATCAGCTGGTTGGAACTATTCCAGCTTAATCAAGAATTATGGGTTCCATTTCTTGGGTACGCAATACCTTAGGGACTAGAAATGTCAACCTTAATAGTTCCTATTAGGCCACGATAACAAGAAAAGGATGGGGAAAAAAAGAATCAAGCACTATAACCCCTGTTTTTTGGGTGTAACTCCCCTGCATCATAGCCACCACATGCCTCCCGGCAAGCCTCCTCGACGGAGGCGGCGGAGATACCACTGTTACATATGTTGGCGAATGCCCTCATGTGCTTCATCCCATACTGCGTTAGTGAACCACACTCAGTTTCAAATACTCTCACCATTTCTTTCAAGCATGTCCAATCATCCACAAGGGCCAAACCAGGTCCTCTCACATGATCCAATACTGAGGAACCCTTTCCTGGTCCGTACAGCAATATCCCAACCAATTTCACACTTTCATCTATATGCCTTCTGTGCTTCTCTGTGTCCTTAATTTGCTTCAACATTTCCGTCTTCCTCTCTGGCTCATGTTTTGATCTATTATACTGTAACAAAATGGCAACAAGAAGTCAGTGTTAGTGCTAGGAATTTAAGCATGAATTAAGATTTAAAGTTGGAGTAAACAATATATATATATATATATATATATATTACCATTTGCCATAGGAACAAGAGATCTGCGTCTCTCTGGGTAATTACTTGCATTGAAGGTTGGAGCTTGAAGTTGTAGGGAGGGAAGTTGACAGAAGCAGGATCAAAACCTAGGAACAAAAAAAGCTTGTCGCTTTTTATGTTGGTGTCCCCATATTCCATCACATGTGAACCAAATGCGTGGTTATCGAAATTGGAGGTCCGTTTCTTTACCTGCAGAACCAGAAGAAGAAGAAGGAACTATAAGTTGAGTCTTCTTGATATCTGCAGACTTAGCAGAGAAGATGAACAAGTACAGAAATGAAGATCTTGTCATCTCACAGTCTGATACTGCTGTTGAAGTGTTTCAGCTTTGAGATTGTGGGACTCTGCATCTTCCATCCAAGCAACACTGAACAAATCGCCTAAACAAGTGAGGTAATCTGGTGGAGGAGGAGGATCCATGCCAGGACAGTAAGTTCCAAAGCTGAGTTCTTGAGCATTTGAAGCTGTGGTCACATAAACATTGATATCTCTGGGCATTATTCCCTCGAAGATGCTTCCACTTTCACAAGCTTCCACATATATTACCTACACAAACCTCGTTCATCATTAGTCAATCCTCTGTCTGAAATCACAAGGTTGTAATGCAGATTCTGCAGAAGAAAGTGTATGTTAATGTTGTTTAATTACTTACCATCTCCCTGTAACCCCCAGAAGCGTGTTTCCTCTGCAGAACTTCAATGAAGTCCATGGCATAAACGTAGGGCCTGTTTGGCATCCCTGAAAAGTATACAGTCCAAGAATGAATTAGAGGATTAGGGATTTAAGAATGAAGAAGAAAATGAGTTATTTAAGAGAATAAATAAGTTACCAAGAACGCCGGGGCCTCCATGATCGGTGTAATAGATGAAGATTCTGTCGTTGGGTTTGCTATCTATTACTTTCCCACTTCCTCCCTTGAGCTTCGTCTTGTCCCCCAGAATTACAGCGTACAGATTCTCAGATGTCACGTTCTCGCCTGTGTAATCCTACATTAAACACAGGCCCCTTTTAATTATTCTATATACTAAGAAGAAGACTTCACCGGTTTTGATATGAGTGATATATAATAGCAGTATAATTTAAGCATGACCATGATAATCTGGGACTTAAGCTAAATTACCCAAGAATAGCCTTGTTTAATTACTTAACTAATCAAACATTGGATTCATTCTAAGTAAATCATCTAATCCTATTTATAAGTAACTTCTAACATGTTTCATACAGACCTAGAAAAAACTTAAACTTCATTAACTCTCGTTTAATATTCAATAACTTTCTAACTTTATTCCTATTTAATATATATTATACCTCATATAAACCAAATCAATATAATAATAAACAAAGGGTAAAATTGTTTATTCATATAAAAATCTCTCTTAAAACAAAAAAATATCTTATTTCTCTCTCTTATAAATATTGTTACTGTGATTGAGGGAATAAGGTGCGTATTTTCTGCTGTAATAGTCTTCTCACTATGCCCCACATAAAAGTTAGGTTTCCCCCAAAAAAAACAGAGAGAGATTGGTTCGTCAGTCCCATTACCAACACTGCTTTCCACCGCCGAAAGTAATGTGCCCACAGATATTTCAATCTGTCTCAGCCAATAACTTAAATCCTAGTTTTTTTCCCCTTAAGGAGGAAAAAATTACCCAGAAATTTTTTATATAAACGTTATAAAAAGGAGAGATTCTTCTACCAGATTTTCCTTTTATAAAGAAAGAAGATAAGCACAAGCACACTTGAAATATTCCAAGCACGCTTAAATATTCCAGGGTTGTTTTTTATAACCACAGTTTTTCCGGAAACTATGTCGTGTTGAAATTAAAAAGCTAAAAAGTAAAAGGTCCAGAATTAATAAGCCCATTAAAAGGTTTCCGAAACCAGAAGCAGAAGAAAGGAAAAGAAGAGGAGGATTCTGAAAGCATGAGGAAGAAAAGAGGAAAGAAGAAGGACCTTGGGGACTCCAGCATAAACATCTGGTCCATAAGGATGGTTGATGATAAGACCAGGTCTGGGATTGAAGCCAGAATCTGCAATATCATCGTACATGAACACCACTATGTTCTCTTCTCTCACTCCTCCTTTTCTCAGAATCTGATACGCATGGCACACATCTGCCTGTTCTTCATTCATTCAAACAACAGGAATCACTACTTTCATTTATTAATTAGTTAATCTGCGCAGGAAGAGATCAAAGAACAAGGCTGAGCAGAAATTATTAAATTCAAGTACGTAGCTGTAATTAATTACTTACTTGATGTCTGTAATTGGCGTAGCCCGATGAACCAGCCACCAGAACCGCCCACCGAGTTCCCTCATCTGACCACCGATCCCCCTCCGCCTCCCCCGCCGTTTCCGACGGCATCTCCAATCTCACGTTTGACTCATCATCATCATCCCAGTACCCCTTCACCCTCCTTCCTTCTCCTTCTCTCACTACACTCTTCATTTGCAGCATCACTAATATCACCATCAACCTCACGTAACTATACACCTCCATCTTCCTCCTCGCTCCACTTCAACACTTTCTCCCTCCCACTTTCTCTCTCTCTCTATATATATGTGTATCTATCACCTTTCTTATATCAACAAAATATATGTGTGTGTGTATGATGGTGTTGGTAGTTTCTCTCTGTTCTCTTAAGAAAAGATGAAGCTTCTTTCTGTTTCTTGTTCATGAAACCGTCCCCTATATATATTCTGTAACTCCAAACATGTTCGACCCACTTAGGTGCAAAATAACAAAAGATGGTACCCTTGGTTTTTTTCCTTTCCTTCTCGTTTTTTCTCTTTAAAAAATAATAATGGGCATTGCCCATTGTTGCACCAACTTTTGTTTGGTAAAGCATTATTATGACAATTCATGGGGCAGATTATAATATATTGATGGATCCTATATTTCACATTTAAAAGGGGTCCTTCAAAAAAAAAATTTTTTTTTGGCCAACAAAATGGACCCTTCAATTAAAATAGGTTTTCCCCAAATGATATTTTGTGAGTCTGATGTGACATTAGGTGTGGTGTATATTACACGTATGGTTGTTCTTATCGATCACTTTCCTGTACAGTACTCATATGACTGGAGTATTTCATTAAACGACAAGGTATTGCTGATTTAATATTGCACGCCACTGCCACCTTCAACAAATATCAAGTTATTTCGGGCCAAAAAAAACAAATATCAAGTTATTATTATTTTTATTTTTTTGATACCGGCATTTCTTCTAAATCCTATTATTTGGTATCCAAATGACCAGCTATTCCGATTCTAGGTTCATGATTGCCTCTCTCAACACAGATGTCTCCTCTGGAACTCATTTAAGAGGATATTAGACGAGGTCTGACATGCGGTTAGACCAATTTTCTGTGTTGGGAGTATCAAGTTATTATTTATTGATGGCAAAAAAAAAAAATCAAGTTAAGTACATTCCCTTTTCTTTTCTTTGTTTTTTTTTTGCCAACAACTTTTAAGCACAATTTTTTGGGTGATACAGCCTTTAAGCACATTCCAACTTTGATTTTGCATCCGCGGTATTGTTTAATCATAGAACACAGCTGGAAGATTAGGTCCGTGTTAATAATAGAAGGCAAAAACAACAATAATCTAGTACTCCTCCGATCCTTATTATAAGACCCAATTTGACTTTTTATTTGGTCCTAATTATAAGACCCAATCCATTTTCTCTCTTATATTTATGCATTTTTTTTCCAAGATAATCCTTCTAATAATGATAGTTTTAGCCAATATACTTAATTAGCAAGGATATTTTAGGAATAACAACACTTATTTATTATAAATAACCAACTTAACTTACTTCCTTAATCTCCTCAAATAAGTCAATTGGGTCTTATAATTAGGACTGGAGGAGTAACATAGAACCTGCTGAGATTTTTTAAAAACAAAAGTCTATCATCTGTCAGAAAAAAAATAATTTCTTAATTGGTCTAATATTGTTTTTTAATTCCCACGAGAGAGTACGTTTATCTAATTATGGTGGCTCACATCTAACTGGTATGATTACCAAAATATCGAGTTAATAATGAAAATTATAAATAGGCTTTTTTTTTGGCCTGAGAAAATTATAAATAGGTTACAAACTCTGAGTTACATTTGAAACTTAAATGTATTACATGCAATTGAGGCTCTTGAATTTGTCGTCGTTGTCCGAATGGATATTTACAACTTACTTTACAAAAAAAATTTGTCCGAAAATCTCTTAGGATGTTATTGTTATTGTGCCTTAACTAAGCCCTTGGTGATGCATATGATATAATTCAGAGTAAATTATATTTCCTTCTGTCCTTATTTTAAGCTTCAAATAACTAATTCACGCATAATAAATAATTAGTTAAAAATAATAAATAGGTTAGAAATATATTTTTGTTTCTAAATGTCCCTGTAATGAATGAAAAAAAAATGAAGAAAAAGAATGTGTGGGAAAATAAGATAAGAAAAAAAAAGAAAGAATTACAATTACGTCTAAGAAAAAAATATTTAATTACCATGAAATCCGTTGACAACTAAAGAGCATGTCACAACAAATTTAAGTGTAGGAAACAACAAATAATTTATACTACTTACTTGTCATTGAGACTTTTTAGTAATAAAATTCTTTCTTTGGAACCTCATGGTATTAAATTCTTTCTTTAGAACCTCACGGTAATTCTCATGGAAAAAAATTAGGAGCAACATTGAAAAGATACATTAAATATTAAGACAAATTTAAATTAAAGTTTATAAAATGGATCACTTTTTACCAAATTTGAAACTTATAAATAGAACCGAAGGGAGTAGTAATTAACATGACTTGAGTGTTGTATTCTCAGTGAAAAATGTGCTCATATTTAATATGAGACTGAATGTCGAATATTATTATTTTTCATAACAGGATTGAAAAAAAACCGAAACTAAAATATTTTTATATGATATTATTTTTTTGAAAATTACATAATAGTCCTCCTATTCAAAATAAACTACAGTCTTATATTAGAGTTTATGAAATTAATATATTTTTTAAAACAAAAATTATAGTTTTCACTAAACATAAAATCATAACATATAATAAATATATTACCTCCGATCCTAATTATAAGACCCAGTTAACTAATTTAAGGAGATTAAGAAACTTAGTTAAGTTAGTTATTTGTAATGAATATGTATTATTTTTTTTAAAATATCCTTGCTAATCAAGTTTGTTATCTAGAACTACCATTATTAAAGGACTATCTTGAAAAAAATAGATAAATATGAGAGATAAAATAGTTTGAGATCTTACATTTAGAATCAAAATAAAAGTCAAATAAAGTCTTATATTAAGGACTGGAGGTAGTATATACCTAACTAATCTAATGTTAAAGACTGGGGTGGGGTAATATAATATTTAAAATAAAAATATAAACTATTATGAATAATTTATAAAATTCAGGCCAAAAAAATTCATAAAAATATAATTCACTGAAAACTAATACTCCTCCGGTCTTTAATATAAGACCCATTTAACTAATTTGATTAGATTAAGGAAGTTAGGTAAGTTAGTTAATTATAAGAAAATTGACACATTTTTCCTAAAACACCATAATTATCTTTCTTAATACCCCTCTCTCTCTTTTACTTAATTATAGTTGAGGGAGTATTTATAGGGGTAATTTAGAGAAAATTGATAAATATGATAAATGGGTCTTATATTTAGGACCAAAACCAACTCAAGAATTGAATCCTATATTAAGGGTCGGAGGAGTACTAGTACTACATAACTAGTGCAACCAGACATTGAGCTCAGACCACAGAGTCCTTTGTCCTCTGAGATGCAGCTGATCGGAGAGAACACTCTCCACGTTACGACTTCATGTTCATTTGCATCAAATTAATTAACTTCAAAAATTTTTAAAAAAACCTCAAAACTAAGTAGAAATATTGTGTTGTTAATTCAGTGGCCTCAACTAATTTTTTTTGCCCATAGAAGCGGATCATGCTTACCAACTTTTCAACGGAAAAAAATATTACAAGAAACAAATAAAGTGGTACCAGGAAATGGTAAGTAATAAGCAGACAAATGAATTTAGTCGAGTTGGTAAAATGAAAGCAAATTATAGCCGTTCACAATATGTTAATGTTGACTGTTTTGGGCCATATTTATATATTTTGATTTTTTTTTTTTTGGGGTTGTATCCTCTTTGTTTTCATTCAAGAATGACAACGACAGTGATTAGAATTGCAAGGCACACCGTTTTCCTTCAAAGAGATTTTTAATAAATAATCTACGAGTTTAGGTGGCACACTGTGCTAGGTTTGAATTTAAAATAATAATAAAATCTATCATTGTCTTTATCAACTTGTATAAAAATCTAGCTTCTGGCCACTAATATGTGGTTTAGATTTATGATTAATAAAGCAATTTAGACCTTAAGTTTGCAATTATGATCTTGGAACTTGGAAGGACCCACTCCCAACAGTTTCACCCAGTCTCCAGCTTATTATATTAAAAATGATATTAATTTTTCTTAAAACACATTTTTAATAAATATTAATGTTAATTCGATCTGTCTATCACAATATTTATATTTGTTAGTTCATATTTATTATCTCTCTAATCCTTAATGTAAAACTTAATTAATTAATTAGAGCAGATCAAGAATATTAATTAAATTAGTTAATCTTATATGTTTTATTTAAAATACCCTAAATGTCTTTTTCAATTTTTTTTCTCCTTCTCCTACTTGATATTGTTGAGCGAATATCAACAAGGTTAATTTGAAAAAGAATTTGATAAACATGTAAAAAAAAATTTACATATAAAATCAGCGTTAACTTTTAAATTAAGTCACACATTAAAAAATAAGGAGTAGATATTTATTATATTGAAATCAGATATTACTAAGTATGCTTTTACTAGGTCATTTTTCGATTTGTAAGAGCTAGAGCTAGTGATGCTCTGCACAATTAATCTCATAACGTCCAATACCAAAAGACAAATATTTATAATTCGTCAAGGGGATAATAATTGCAATAAGCAATTCATTGTAAGTAATATCAACAAGAACAAGTACAACAAGATGCAGACTTCAAAATCTTATCATGCCAGATGCAACTTTAAATTCTTCAAGGTTATTACCCCCTTATTTCATCTCCCACTATGGCAATTGAATTTCGGGGGAAAAAATTAATATCAGCCGACAAAAATTTCAACGCTAATTGTCTAATTCTGTGTCACTTTCATAAGGAGCGCCAACTTCGTCAAGAATGCAAGATACACAAGAAGCTTCCTCAAATTTTCCACCACACAAATTATTCCAAGACAAATGACAAATTATCAGTATTTCCTTCTCCATGAGGTCCACTTCAGTTTAAGCTGATACCATAAAGGGGATACTCCCAGAACCCCTCGGGCAAGCCTTGGATCAAACACATCAAATTGCACCCGATTCAGAGAATCCAAGAGAACCTGAGCTGGCACTGCTGGGAGAAGCACTGGAACAGCTTCGGGAGGCACAAATTCAGCTAACTTCCTAGCTTTCTCTAAATGAGCATTTGCAACTGAGGCCATCTCAAAAACTGCATCACAAAGAGCCTCACGAGAATCCAAGCGCATCTCTTCTCGACGTCCCTGCTTAACTAATAACCTGTGTTTGGATGCCACTTTAGCCGGTATGTAAGAAAAATGGCGGTCACGACTGATGTGATAAGGCAGCGATTTAAGTAGCAAGAGAATGCCGCTTGCCTTACCGACATGTGAGGCTGCATGATCAGCTGCCGTGGATCTGATGCCACCAGCTTGAAGTGTCAAGTATAGCATAGTTGATGTTGTGTCCTCGGAATATTTCTCCATCTCTTCCATAGTTTCTGGCATGTCAGTAGGCTCTCTTCTTGCATCTTTGATCCGAGCTTCAACAGATCGTTTCAGCCATGTCTTGCCAAGTTTGGTTTCACCTATAACAGATGAGAGGGCCTGTGCTGTTGGGTGTTCAATCAATTTGTTGGCATATATTTTGTCTATGGCTTCTTGCCACCATACCAAACGCATAAGACCTATCCTGGGATCAGAAGCAACATCCATAGCTCTGGCTGTTTCAACATTCAAGGCTCGCAGAGCGAAGGCAGCTTTCCGCATAGATGGAGGGAGTTCAAGAAGACATAGATAGTGATGATAATCATAGCTTCGCACTTGTTGTACGCAATAGGAGAATGCTGCCTTTAAGCTATTAGATGTAGAAGAAGCACTATTCATTAAATCTTCAGCTGGTTACCTACAGATAAAAAATACGTTGATAACAACGATACTAAAAAGGCAAAAAATATATGATGCAACACAGAATTCATGTCGACAGTGAACTAGATATCAAAGATGAAAGAGAAGAGAGATGACCAGAAATTGAACAAGAGAAGAGAGGCCCTCAACCACCCAAACAGAATAAATATATGAGCTACAACATGAGATGTCAGGAGCCAAAAGTTCTGCATAGCAACCTAGAGAAACCACATCATGATAGAGTCCAATAGTAGGGGCAGTTTACAAATTAGTTATTTTCAGTTATTTTTAACCTTCAATTTTAGGTGGTTATATTCAGTTATCCTTTTCAGACTATTACAGTGGGATTATTTAAATATTAGTTATTGTTAGTTATTGTTAGTTATTGTTAGTTATTATCCTAGTAGAATGTAGAAGGTTATTAGGAAGTTATCAATCAGTTATTCTCAGTTATATTTTCAGCCTATTTAAATCTATTATATGATGACATTAGGGTGTGAATAAAGTATATTATTCAGGAATTCCCATCTTCTTCTCTCCTAGGATTTCAGTTACTGATTCTAGGCTCTCTCTCTCTCTAACACACATCTCTCTTCTGCCTTCTCACCTCTTCTTTCCCCTCTCTTCCTTTCTATCTACCAATTCTTATTCTCTCTTTTGCAGAACCTAACATTTTGGTATCAGAGCACAACTTTCCGAACCTGTTGGGACATTATGGTGAACAATGTGCCTCTCCTGCCAAATCCTAACCCCTCTCACGGCCCCCACCAACTCTTCTGACCTTCCCTCTACAGAATTGCTTTCCCAACAACTGTCAGCCATTATCACCAAATTAAATAATTTACATACAGAAATGACTACTCTGAAGCAACAGAAGTCATTTCAAGAGCCTAAAGGAAGCCACAGCCATAGTGGGAAACAGATTCATGAAGAAGTTTGATGATGAAGATCATGACAACCTTTGGGGAAAAAAGAATCCTTCTAAACGCCCACACTCTAAAGTAGAATTTCCTAAGTTTGAAGGAGGTGATCCTAGAGGCTGGGTTATGAAGGCAGAAAAATACTTCAAGTATTATCAAATACCTAAAGACCTTAAAGTTGATGTGGCAGCCATGAACTTAGAGGGTGATGCACTAGATGTTTTTACATGGATTTCCTCTGAAAGATCTATCAATTATTGGGATGACTTGATTCTTCAAGAGCACTTTGGCCCTGCTGAATTTCAGAATCCTGATGTGTACCTTTGCAGCATCAAACAATTGGGTTCCGTGCAAGAATATAGGCAGGAATTTGTCAGAAGGTCTTCAAGAGTGCATGGGTGGCCTGAGCATTGCTTATTAGGTGTTTTCATCAATGGTTTACAGGAAGAACTGCAGTCAGATGTTAAAATTCAGAAACTGCAAACTGTTCACAAGGCTGCAAGCTTGGCTCTTGAATTCGAAGACAAGTTACAAAATCAGAATCTGCATCGTTATGGACAGTGATCTGGAGCTACACGTGGCACCAAGAGCAGTGTCAATTTCAAGGAAGATAAAAATGCCAACATTCCTAGGCTGTGTTCAAACTCTGGTCTTGTAAACACACCAGTTGTTATGTCAATTTTCAACACCCAAAAGCAATTATTACCAACTGATACTGGAACTTCCCAAAGAATGACCCACAACCCGACAATCTCAGACCATGATAGGCAGTTTTGTAAAGACAAAGTGCTGTGTTTTAAGTGTGGAGATAAATTTGTCCCCGGACATAAGTGCCAACCCGCCCCTTTCAAACTCATGGAAATTACCGAGGAAGTGGGAGACCTCATTTGGGAGCTCGAGATTCAAATTCATCATTAAAAGCTACCCAATTTCCCACATTTCGCCTTGAGGACAAGGCGTGTTTGCCAAGGGGAATAATGATAGAGTCTAATATTAGGGGCAGTTTACAAATTAGTTATTTTCAGTTATTTTTAATCTTCAATTTTAGGTGGTTATATTCAGTTATCCTTTTCAGACTATTACAGTGGGATTGTTTAAATATTAATTATTGTCAGTTATTGATAATCCTTACCCTAGAATATAGGAGGTTATTAGTCAGTTATTCTCGGTTATATTTTCAGCCTATTGTACGATGACATTAGGGTGTGAATGAAGTATATTATTCAGGAATTTCCATCTTCTCTCCTAGGATTTCAGATATTGATTCTAGGCTCTCTCTCTCTCTCTCTCTCTCTCTAACACACATCTCTCTTCTACCTTTTCATCTCTCCTTTCCCCTCTCTTCCCTTCTATCTCCTAATTCTTATTCTCTCTTTTGCAGAACCTAACACATCATCAGCATAATCAAGCTGAGTGTAACACCTTACTCTAGGTTCCCTTGAGCTGTTTGTTTGACAATGAACCACTTTTGACGCAATTAGTACCTAAAAGAACTGAATGTTTTAAAACTTCTTAACTAACATGGAGTACTTTTCTCAAAAGAATAGGATTTTCCGGAAAACTTTGAAAATCCAAATCTTTGAATCAAAATCAAGATCACTGGTTCAAACTCTACATAAAATATTTTGAAAACCCATGATAGAAATTAATACCTGGGTTCGAACATTGTTTGAACCAGAAAACATTTATTCTAAGATGAACTGAAGACCTGTATATAACCTTCTTAGATAACAAAGTCATATAATATATCTCTGTATCCAAAATCCTCTTAACCGAGATTAATTAGCTACCTGTTGTTAGAACTCAAACCTGTATTAGATTATGAAATAGTAAGGGCTTAAAAGATACTACCTGGCATGCTTTCTTTCAATTTATATCTTACTGTACTCTTTTTCTGGTATTTCCTTATTTATAACTTATAATTTAAATAACTTAAATTCTAACTTATTCTTACTGTACTCTTTTTCTGGTATTTCCTTAGTGGGCTCAGGCAAATATCAAAACCTATCATACTTCTGAGGGTAGGTTAACACTTATTCCATTTATAACTTATAATTTAAATAACTTCAATTCTAACTCATTCGAGCTCTACCCTTACTAGGTGATTGGTCAAGAAGGACAAAACATATATATTTACATCATATGATTAGGGCATTTGAAATGTCTTCCCTTTCTAAATCCTCACGGTTTGTTACCTTTGTGTATATATGCATTCACCAAATCCTAGCTTTATAAATTAGGCCTTGGGAGTGAATTCTTAATATTGACTATTCTTATAAAGAAATATAAACGTCATATAAAATCCTTAACCATGGTTTAAACTCTAACATAGTTGCCAGGCATTTGAAGGTAGCAAACAGCAACTTAAATTTTAATTTTCAGCTATATATAATTCGCTTAACCACTCCAAACAGTTTCTCTTTTAAATCTGAAATTTCCCAGCATCTACATATCGTTTCACTCATCCTAGAGAAGTGCTTAACATGCTTAATCAATCCACATTCTTCTTTAATTCTTCAGGGTATCAAACAGCAAGTTTTAGATAAATTTCCAGTTCCCAGGATGAGGCTTACCACGTTTCCAACATTATATCATTAACCAACAGTATCACTACCCATTGATAATCTAGTAGTTAGACGCTTTTCTTTCATTGAGCACCGTAGGCATAAATCTAAACATTTTCCAGATTTAAAATCATGAATCCCAATTTAAATTTAGCAACTTGCATCTCCCTATATCACACCAAACCATACAACAGTAAGCATTTTTCCCATATCCATTCTAGCTCTCAAAAACCCTTCTCTTTAATTCTGAAATAACTTCCAGACTTATACCAATGCTTTTTCCCCCCTTTTGCCTAGACTTGTATCAATGTGAAATCACCACTTTAATGCCTCTAAACAAAATGCCTCTAAACAAAATTATTTAGCTAAATAATTGCCTAGCACAGAGAAGCATCGAAACAGCACTTCCTTACCAAAGAAAATTTTTCAAATTTAATTAAGAACAACACTTAAAATCATCATTCTAATGCCTCCAACTCTAAATAACTACATAGAACAACTATTTAACATTTAGACACATTTAATAGGAACTTCAAATCAGTTCCTGAGCTCCAATTCACTCCATACGCCATTAACAAGCCTAGATATATGCATCCTTCATATTTGTAGCATTTAGACACTTTTAATTCTATAATAAACATCTAAAATAATTATTTAAATAGAAAAATGCCCAAACAGTGACTTATCATCACTTTGCTCGATCTTCATTAAAACACCACTTCATTATGTATGCAAGTATGTACGCGTCTTATTTACATCCCTTTAATTAGCCTTTCGCCTCTCCTTAATTATTCATACAGCTACCCTCTTTAACTCTGGAAATTTTTCAGCTCTAAGCACAACAACCTAATCATCATTTAAACATCATTAATATCTACTTTCAACATTATTTTAGATTATAAATAAGCACCTTTGAATGTCTTAAAAGTCCTTATCTAATAACAGCAAGCATTTTATGCATTTTTCAGCTTCAATAGTCTATCTAATAATTTGCAATATCCACCTAACATTTCAGCTTCTATGATGGGTTTCAAATATCATTTTACCACTGTCAATCACGTTTCAGTAGTTACAAATACTGGTTCAGCATTTGAGAACATGTTAATCAGCAACCTTCCCAACCAAATTTCAGCTCCAAAATTGAGTCACAACAAAATTATCAAAAACTTCATGCTAGTATTGTTTAAAACATAATTCTTACCTTCAAACCATACTTTAATCCTTGTAACCATTCAAATAATATATTTACAGTCAATTCTGAAAATTCCAGCTCCAATCACAAGGTTTAAACCATCATTTTAAAGTCTCTAGGCATGTTTTGAACATCTACAACAATGATTCAGCACTTAGAAACCAAATCAGCAAGGTCCAAATCAGTTTTCAGCTTCAAACTCTTCGGTTTCAACAAGCAGTCATATTATATTCATCTAAACAATCCATAAACTACTTATATCATAAAATCTCAGCATTTATATTGTATTTAACCATTTTGTCAGGGACCCAACGCCTCCACACTTAGAAACAACAAATATATTGTTCGGCAATCGCAACCCCCAAACAAATAGCACATGCAGCCTCAGTACCATCTACTTGAGCTTCAATCTACGCTATCACTCAATTTCTAGCTTAATCGCAACCCTTCCTCAACTTAATACCAACTTCCAATCACCTCATCCTTTTAAATCAGTGCCCAATCAACGAAACAGGGGATAGAGGATTATATCAAACACTACGAAGGCAATCGGAAGGACTTTCTTCCCCTCAGACATACTTCATCAAAAGTTAGCTGAATTTGAGCCTTCTGAAGCTGTCCCAGTGCTTCTACCAGCAGTGCCTGCTCAGGTTCTCTCGGATTCTCTGAATCGGGTTCCACATTTATTTCATCAGTAATAACTTGCTTTCGTTTACCATCCTCACCAGTAGACATCTTTCCAAATCGACCAGCAGTGCAAATGTGAACAATAATTGACAACAATAATCCAAAAAATCTATCAATGAACTTCAAATTTGCCAATCTTGAATCAGACACAATGGAATGGAATGAGTTGAGAGTTGAAGAGAGAAGGTGACTCACTGTGAGGCCGGAAACGCCGACGTTGGAAGCCTGAGAGTGAGACGCCGGCGGCCGACTGTGCGGGCTCAGCTCCAGCTGGTCCGTGCCGCGGTCGACTCTCGAATGTGCGATACTGGAGACAGAGAAAGAAGAAGTGTGTTGTGGTGGTGGTTTGGTCCGTGGTCGACTGTGCGACACTGGAGACAGAGAAAGAACCGAAGAAGAAGCGTGCAACGTAGTGGTGGTCCCTCCGGTCCGGGGTCGGTGGCGACGAGCTAAGTGAAGGAGGGAGGCTAGGGCAAGCCAAAAGTTTAGTATTTTTTTTTTCCAATTTTATGATTAAAATAAAAATTCAACAAAATTCAATTGGACTTTTTTGTTTGGGCCGCAGGTTGGGCTTCAATAGGTGAGTTTGAAATTTTGTACTTCTCCGGTCCTTAATATAAGACTCTTTTAACTAATTTGATTAGATTAAGAAAGTTAGATAAGTTAGTTAATTATAAGAAAATTAACACATTTTTTCTAAAACACCGTAATTATCTTTCTTAATACCTCATCTCCCTCTTCTACTTGATTATGATTGAGGAAGTGTTTATAGAGGTAATTAGAGAAAATTATAAATATGAGAAATTGATTTTATATTTCTGACTAAAACTAACTCAAAAATTAAGTCCTATATTAAAAACTAGAGGAGTAGTTGGACTTGGACTTGGACTTGGGTGGATTATTGACATTGCGACTTTGTGAGGTGGAGGAGAGGAGAGGAGAGGATTGATGTGTTTTAAAATGCACTCCTTCAATACTAAATGTAATAACAGCTATTATTCTAATTATAAGATTTTATTTATAAATTATAAATAAGACTTTATAATTAAGACTGAAGGTAGTATCTATTTAATTAGATTTAAAAAGTTAGATAAGTTAAATAATTATAAAAAATATATAACATGTTTTTTTTAAACACCATAATCATTTTTATTAATATCTTCCTTCTCTCCCCTACTTAATTATGGTTGAGAGAGTATTAATAAAAATAATTTTTAAAAAATTGATAAAAATAAGAAATAGGTCTTACATTTAAAACTACTATTAACTCAACAATTAGATCATATATTAAGCATCAGAGGAGTATTTTAGTATTATCCCTATACTTTATATAAGATTTAGTTGAAGGTTAGATTTGATCATAAGTATAAGATATCAATTTATTTTATTTTTTATATTTATAATTCTTCTTAAAATATTCATATTGATTAAAATTTTCTCACTAAAAGGCTATTCAAATGCACATAATTATATTTTTAAAAAAAGTAGTTTAGAAAAATAAACACACATCAATTATAAATAATTAATTTAACTAATTTTATTAATATTTTGAAATAACTTCTATCCTCATGATAGAAGATAGTATCATTTTTATTACTTACTAAATTTTGATTGTTTTTGTCAAAAAGACTTTATTTGGTTATCCATAAGCTACTCAAGAGATTTGTTTTCAAAACTTTCTTAATCACCCTAGCATATCAAATGATTCTTTTGAGAAATTTGTTTCGTGCATATGATTTTGAGTTTTGCAATCTCAGTTCTTAATCTAGTTAAAGACTCTTTCTATCCGTTCGTGAGGTTTTTATTGTGAATCTCTCAGATAACATGAAGATTATGTGTTTTAAATTTAAGAAATAATTATTCTTTAATATTATTGACTTGGTAAACTACTAATGATATACTTTGAGCAAGATTATTACAAGTTTAGAGCTAAATGAAAAAATAATATTGGTTAAGCTATTTTATGTCAGAAGCATTAAATTTAAGTCAACCGTTACGAGTCACCAACCTATTTGATCTTCTTTTCAACGGTTACAATCTTTCAAATCTAACAGATAATTAATGAATATCAAGTATACATAGATATGAACCACCACTCTGCTACATTCAATTTGTTTATTTATTGAGATGTTTTCCTCGTTATTCTCTTTGCACTCTAGTGATTATCATTCGGGGAGAGAGAGAGAGATATATATATATATATATATAAATATTTATTATCTTCGTGAGAAACTTAAGATTATGGGAATTTAAATGGGTTACAATCTTATGAAAAGTTTAAAAAAAAAAACAATTCAGAGAAATCGTTTGATGTACTAAGAACCCAATAAATCTTAGAGATTATAGTTGAACTCTTATAGATATTTTGAAAACTGAACATAAGTCAAGTGATTACAACGAACAATATAAATCGATTGTGTGATTCTCTTCTTATCAACTCTTTGAGCAAAATTTTTTGACCTCTCACATATTCTGTTAATACTACTTAATTTTCAGTTAAATTTTTAAATATTTCCCAATTCATCCCTTCTTAGATAAAACTGCTATTCTAATATTTTATATTTATATATTAAGTTATCTAATCACATATATAATAATAATAATAATAATAATAATAATAATATATGTCTTATTTCTCTTAATGTTATGTGTCTTATTTTTTTCATTTAGATGACAATAAAAATTAAAATCTAGCATAACAATTCATAGCACCATCTATAACCTTCTGGAATCTGGACTCTGGATTGCCCAAAAAGAAAATTGCGGATTTTCAAGAGAAGCTTCGAGAACCACCACTACCCAGCCGGAAGTCTCCGCCTCTTTGCAATTCCCCTTTTTCCACTGTCTGCCAGTTGATTTATGATTATATATCGTCCCCTTTGTCCTCCTTGATTCCAATCAAATCCCTCGAACACTATCGCCGTCTCCATCATCCCCTAATAATGGCCGACGAAGCCAAGGCCAAAGGTAACGCAGCTTTCTCTTCCGGTGATTTCGCCGCTGCCATCCGTCACTTCTCGGACGCCATCGCTCTTTCGCCTGATAACCATGTCCTCTATTCCAATCGATCCGCTGCTTATGCCTCCCTTCACAAATACTCCGAAGCCTTAGCCGACGCTAAGAAGACTGTCGAGCTCAAGCCTGATTGGTCTAAGGGCTACAGTCGTCTCGGCGCTGCTCATCTTGGTCTCGGCCAACATGATGAGGCTATTGCTGCTTACAATAAGGGCCTGGATATCGACCCCAATAATGAACCTCTTAAATCCGGCTTGGCTGATGCCCGGGCGGCGGCGACGGCTACTTCTTCGAGGTCTCGTTCGACGCCAACTTCTAACAATCCTTTCGGAGAGGCTTTCGCTGGACCCGAGATGTGGGCAAGGCTTACTGCTGATCCCACCACTAGAGTCTTTCTTCAGCAACCTGATTTCGTGAAGATGATGCAGGACATCCAGAAGAATCCCAACAATTTGAACTTGTATTTGAAGGATCAAAGAATCATGCAAGCGCTTGGGGTTTTACTCAATCTCAAGATTCGTACCCCAACGGACGACGCTGATATGCCAGAGTCCTCGCCTTCTCCTCCGCCACAAGAGAGGAAGAGAGCTGCTGAAGCGGAGCCTGCGAAGGTAGAGAAGCAGCCGGAGCCTGAACCGGAGCCTATGGAAGTGACGGAAGAAGAGAGGGAAGCAAAGGGAAGGAAGGCGCAGGCTCAGAGAGAAAAGGAGGCTGGTAATGCGGCTTACAAAAAGAAGGATTTTGAAACGGCAATTCAACATTACTCAAAGGCTTTGGAATTGGATGATGAGGACATATCCTTTCTCACAAACCGTGCTGCTGTGTACTTGGAAATGGGAAATGTAAGTCAATTCGCATATATTATCTGGTTGAAAGTAATTTATTCCAGTTCAATGTTAAATGCCGTGGCTTGCATCGCTTTTGTTAATTTATGCTTTAGTCTGGCCTGTTAATGTATAAGAAGGTCACAACCTTTATATTTAAGGATGTTTTTACCAATTCAACTTTTATACGAGGGAGGATGTTTTAAGGGCGGTACAGTAGCGTCTATATCATCAGATAATGTGCCTTGTAAATATTGCCTTTGTGGCTAAGGATTTTAGAGGTTATTGTGGATTTGACAGAGAAAATTACTCGAATTTGCTCTCGGGTGATGACGTAGCTTACGTTACTAGGGTGTGTGTTCTTTTACATTACATAGCTTTCATTTTATAGCTGGCTAGGTTAGTGCATTAGGCGTTCTAACAAGTAGTCTTTGAATGCTGAGCATTTTTCCAGTTCGAAGAATGCATAAAAGATTGTGACAAGGCTGTTGAGAGGGGAAGAGAACTGAGATCGGACTTCAAGATGATAGCAAGAGCTTTGACAAGGAAGGGAACTGCCTTGGTCAAACTGGCAAAATGCTCGAAGGATTATGAACGTGCCATTGAGACTTACCAGAAAGCACTGACGGAGCATCGTAATCCTGACACATTGAAGAAACTTAATGAAGCTGAAAAGGCCAAGAAAGAACTTGAACAGCAGGAATACTTTGATCCAAAACTGGCTGATGAGGAGCGTGAAAAAGGTATCCTCCATTTTAGAATGTACCCCTGATTCTCCATCTTTTGTAATAAGGTTTGCTTTATATGGAAAGAAATACTTGTAGCTATGTATTTACCCCTTTTGTCAACGTGCAGGTAATGAATTCTTTAAGCAGCAAAAGTACCCTGAGGCTGTAAAGTGTTACACAGAAGCTTTAAGAAGGAACCCTAAGGACGCTAGGGTAAGAATATACCAATTCATTAGGGTAGATAATTGCGCCTTACAGCAAATGCAGACTCTGACCTGTTAAAAATACTTTTATTTGTTTCAGACATACAGTAACAGAGCTGCGTGCTATACAAAACTTGGTGCGATGCCTGAGGGTTTGAAGGATGCAGAGAAATGCATTGAGCTTGATCCAACCTTCTCAAAAGGTTATTCTAGAAAAGGTGCCGTACAGTTTTTCATGAAGGAATATGATAAAGCGATGGAAACATACCAGGAGGGTTTGAAACATGATCCTAACAATCAAGAGTTGATTGATGGCATAAAACGGTAATCATCTTAAGCTTCATCACTGCTAAGTAAATGTGCTGTACCCAAGTGCCTGCTTTGCATTCTGCGTGTAGATCAAATAAAGTAGTAATTTTTTCATCCCAAATAAAGTAGTAATTTTTTCATCCCGTTATCGTTTCAGATGTGTAGAACAAATTAATAAGGCCAGCCGTGGGGATTTATCACCTGAGGAATTGAAAGAGAGACAGGTATGTCTTGCTGCCCATTTTTGAAACATTTGTAGCCAAAACCATGACAGTGGGATCGGGAAGTTCGATGATTAATTTGTTTTAAAATTCGTTGTGATCTTGCTTGCAGGCCAAGGCAATGCAGGACCCTGAGATACAGAACATCCTTCAAGATCCTGTTATGAGACAGGTAAGCACTAATACAGAACGAGGCAATACGTTGCCCCTGCTGATCTGTGCAGCGTAGCGTTTTAGGATAACAACTAATACGAATGAGCTGTGCTAATGATAGTTGGGGTTGCACTTGTGTGCAGGTGTTAGTTGATTTCCAGGAAAATCCCAAAGCTGCCCAGGAGCATACAAAGAATCCGATGGTGATGAACAAGATCCAGAAGCTGGTCAGTGCTGGAATTGTCCAGATTCGGTGATTTGGGTGGAATAGCAGAGGAGCCATGGCTGATTTCACTGTGAGATTGGATCAGAAAAGGAAAAGGAAAATACTGCTGATAATTTTCGAGTTAGCTTTCTGTTTTTGCAATGTTAAGTTTTCTTTCTTTGTTTATTTTAAAATGGCCATAAGCAATGTTAAGTTAATTCTCATGATTTAAGTAGTTCGGGTGCTTCAAACTCTAATCTTCTCGTTTGGCCAAAAAAGAGAGACTCAAGTCTTTGTCCATTCTTAGCCTTGGAACTTTCATATTTTTGGTGGGAATTCTAGCTTGATTATGCAAATTTAAGGAGTTTCCTACTATCGGGGTGTTTTGAACTTTTGGTTCTCACATAAAGTCGATTGCAGATTACGCGTGATATTGAGTACAGGGACTTGGGCTTTAGCCCTTGGAATAAGCAATGGACTTCAAGAAGGAAACAGCTATGATTCCAAATGAGAAGTGTTAATTAGACATCCCCCGCTCCCAGGGTGTTTGATAGATAAAAGAGGAAATAATGAAATTGAATATTGGTCCCTATATTTTAAAAAAGAAAATTGTTTTTTAAAAAACTCAGACTGATATTTTAAATGATTGTAATCATAGAGATATGTTAATCATTGAATCTGTTGCCTAGTGGTATAGATGTTTTACTGCTTGTTTATATTCCTATGGGCTATAGTTTCTGAAAGAGGAAAAATTGAGTTTTAATAGAGAGCGAGTTATCAATTGAATATAATGAGATAATTATAAGAATTAAATGACTAATTTTTTCTAATTATATTTGATATTTTTTGCCAACAAATATTGAATGTGCTTCACACTTGTCTTATTCTCCTAATGTCCGTATGGGATCTGCTTCGTGTCAAAGAACTAGGTGTTATTCAATTGGTGGACTCATGCTGGCGACTCAAGGATGCCGTCGGCTTAATAATAGGACCAATGTAAATGTGGTGTACACTTTGTGAAAGTAAAGGGTTGAGATGATAAGTAGTTGCATTTTGTGGGGGAAAAATATAAATTTAAATTTTAAAAAACGTATTTGTTTATTAGAATTTTAAATTTAATGTTCCTGACTCGATGAAAATTAATTTCAAATTTAAAGTAATTTTAGAATATTTTTAAGTTTATATATATATATATAAGCATATTCACAGGCAAAGTCAGGAACACTCTTTGTTTGTTCAAAGAGGAGAGGACAGGTTTTTCACATTTTATTTGATTGTTACAGGTGAGTTAAAAGGTAAGTGGTCATAATTTTAAGAATTCTATTGTGGGGGTGGGTTGGCGTGATGGACCTACATTGCCTATACTATGTGCCCACGTGGAAGTATCAAGCCAGATGAAGAAATAAGAAGACATAAGATGTAGAAGATCATAACATGAGTAATTAGGCAAATTTCGATTTCTGTATATCCACACAAGTCAACTCTATCTCTTGTCTTGCGGAAAAACTAAAAAAAGATTTATCTTTACCCGAATGCCAATTCTCCTCGAGACAGAGAAAATGTCCGTTCTTTATAGTCGCAGTCTAACTTTGCACAAGGAGAGGTAAAAAAATAACAAGAAGAAAATGAATAGAAACAAAAACTTCAACTATTGGACATAAGGATATAATTGTTGTAGGAAAAATTGTTTCTTGTCAGGAGGGGACAAAGGAAATATATTAAGCAGAAGCTTCTTGCTCCTTTTAGAAGAGTTGGTTTTGGATGTGTTCGTTTTCATGATAAAATAACACTAGGCTCGGCAAATATTATCTTTTGTCAGTTCATAGTCTAAATCTCTTGTTTGTTCTCCTCATAGAAGACTTATAATTACGTCAAAGAAATACATCCATTTCACAGCTATTACATGGAATGGGGATGATGATATGATATTAAGATAAGATTTCTAGACTTGTAATGAAATCAGAGATTTCTTATCTGAACCCAAAAATACCATGCAATACTAGGTCAAATCTTAACAAGGGTTAAAGTGCATCTAACATCTTAAAATATTTTTTTTAGAATATCCAATATTCTAAAATATTTTGTAATGTATCTAACAGCCTTAAGTATGTTTTTTTTAGGTGAGTCTAGCATTGTAAAGTATTTTTTCGTGTATCCAGCATCTCAAAGTATTTTTTTAGGTCCATCCAGTACCAAGAAATTTTTTTGGTACATCCAACAACAAGATAACAAAAAGATATTTCAAGGTACTAGATGCATCTAGAAAATATTTCGAGGTACTGTATGTGCCATAATATATTTTAAAGTGCTGGATATATCTGGAAAAATATTTTAGGGTGTTGGATGCATTTTAATCTTTTTAACAAAGACTAAATTGTCATAACAACCACCAAGAAACTAAACCATGTAAAATAGGGTAGAGGATAAAATTTAAATACCAAAATACAAAAATTATGAAATTTAACTTCTATAATGTAGCCTAGATATGATATTATTATTATTAGGTTTTTTTTTGCCAGCATATTATAAGACTTTTATTATGTATTTTGATGTATAAATGAGATTTTTATTGTACTTATTAGGATTTGATGCCAGACGCTAATACCTTTGATGCTGCTGATTATAATTAGAAATAGTTGTTACGAAATTGCTCATTTGGGTGTGAAATGTGAATGTTAAAGAGCATTTATTATGAAATGAATTACCACAGCTTAATACTTGATAAGAGCTACAAGTTTTGTTAAAAACTAGAAATTTCTCTCCCGTGGCATGCATGATTAACATATTTGATTAGACAGAAAATTCCAATAAATTGTATTATCTCTTATAGTTCAAGATTTAACTTTTATAGGAGTATGATTTTTTTAGTCATTCAAATAAAATTTGATTTAGAGATACAGAATCTAAGGAGAATAAATAAAAAAAATTAAAATTATTTTTTTGCTTTTCTATTTAAGCCTCTAATTGACATACTATTTAATTATGATACTTTCCATTAATTCAATATATTCAAATCCCAATTAAGATGTTATTCAAATTCAAAATTAACCATTAATTGTTTCATTTAAGCCTCCAATTGAAATTTCATTTATTTATAATGTTTCCCATTTAATTTAATATATTCCAATCTCAACCAAGATGTTATTCAAATATCATTAATTGAATATATTCGGATCCAATAATTTTATACCCAACTCATTTTTAAATGAATTAGGCATTACAAGTTTCAAAAATATAGTTGATAGTTGATGATTGATTGATAGAAATTTTTTCCCCTGTGCCATGCGTGATTAGCATATTTGATTAGATTGAAAATTCTAATAAATTACATTATCCACTGTAGCTCAAGATTTATTTTTTATAACAGTAAGATCTTTTTATTCATTTAAATATAATTTCAATTAGAGATGCAGAATTTAAGGGGAATAGATGAAAAATTGAGATTAATTATTTATTTCTTTATTTAAGCTTCCAATTAACATACTCTTTAATCATAATCCTCCCCATTTAATTCAATATATTCAAATCTCAATTAGAATATTATTTAAATTCAATATTAATTATTAATTTTTTTATTTGAGCTTCCAAGTGAAATTCCATTTATTTATAACTAAGATGTTATTTAAGTATTATTAATTGAATATATTCATATTCAATAATGTCATATCTAACTCATTTTTAAATGAATTTGGTATTACAAATTTTCAAGAATATATAGTTGATTGCTGATAGTTGATTAAAATGTCGATTGTTTAGTAATTATGGTAAATTTCAAAGCCTTCTATCCTATCTTTTTTAGTCCTACTTATAATCTTATACTGTTAGTCTATACCCTTGTAATTAGAAAGACAGAGACATTGTTTCGGTTGTGACAAAATTATAATTTATAAGGATTAAATTACAGCAAATTAAAATTTATAAATCCATATTTGAGTCATTTCATAATGAAAAGGTATTGGAGTCATTTCATAAAATTTTAAATCATATAACCTAATTAAGATTGACAAATTAAATGACTTAAATAAAAATTAGAATTATTTATGTATCTTTGTAAAAGATTCCCGCAATTGAATCAAAATTATAAATGATTAATCTTTTCAATAAATATTTTTTTAACCAGCAAAAAATAACTATACTTCACACTTGTTTTATTCTCCCATCGCCCATACGGGTCTGATGATCTGCTGTGTCCAAGAATTGAGTGCTCTTGAATTGGTGGTCTCTCGAACACGAAGTAAAAAAAATTTAGATAATTCTCTTGTTTTCTAGAAAGATTGCAAAAGGATTTACCATTTAGCTGGAAGCTAATTCTCTCCGAGGCACAGAAAAAAATCTGTTTTTCTGTGTCTATTATAATTGTCATCTAACTTCACACTGGGAGGAGGGAAAATGAAAATGAAAAATAAATAAAAACAAAAACTTTAACTATTATTGAACAGAATACAATTGTTGTAGGAAAATTTGTTCCTTGTCAAAAGGAGACAGAGGAAATAAATTATTAAGCAGCAACTTCTTGCTCCTTTGAGGAGAGTTGGTTTTGGATGTGTTGAGGCACAACATCAAACTTGGCTAATTGCATTATGTAAGACGCACGACCTTTGGTCATCCCCCTCAATGTACTCACATACTGAAACATCTCAGCAAGAGGAACCAGGGCATCAACCACCTGTGATCAAATAGAAGAATCAAAGGGTGAGTCCAAGTAAAACAGAAGGCGAATCACCATTGACTTCATCTAAACTCCATCACTTATTTCTCCTAACTTTGATATTTAATGTTCAAATAAATGTGTTTGTTTCTATGATAAAATAGGATTAACCCCTGTAAATCTTTCATAGGGATTGCATGGAGGGGGGAAGATGATGCGATATGAAGATAAGATTCTTGGACTTGTAACAAAATACACAATAGCTGCATAAAAATTCTGATATTTTCAATCTGAACACAAATATACTACGTAACACTAGATCAAATTTTGACAAGGACTAAATAGGCATATCGACAGACAACCGGGAAGCTAAACTGACTACTATCACTTGCCATCCATCTCACAAGAGACAAACAGGCAGGTAAAGTTGACAGAAGCATTAGCACATGTACTTTCTAGTTATCCCTCAAAATCAACAGAATAATCAAATACAGAGAACCAGGTTGACTGACATACCTTTAGGCCACCGGGTTTGTCACCAAAACTGTTGATCTGTCCTCTTCTTGAGTTGAGATCACCAATTACATCTCCTAGATGATCTTCAGGAGTAATCACTTCAACTTTCATAATTGGTTCAAGCATCTTTGGTCCTGCTTTTCTCATTCCATCCCGGAAAGCTCCTCTCGCTGCCAACTGGAATGCCAATACACTTGAATCTACATCATGGTAAGATCCATCTACAAGTACTGCACGTACATCAACTACCGGAAATCCAG